AAATTTTAATAAATAGATGAAAAATGAAAACTAACAGAAGCCCATTTATAAATCATGTGAAAAAATTATTCAGTACGTACAACCTGACCATTCACCAGGCAATAACCATGAAAATGAAATGACCGAAGTGACGTCATGACTTGCATAAAAATCATTTTTGATGTCCTCTAGATTTCATTCGATTCAAAACTTGAAAGGAAATTTTTAACGGTTGAATTTGAAAATGTGCTATACTAGTGAACATTATGCATAACAAAAGTCGCAAGTGCGAATTTTTCAGTGAGGACGCTCTATAAAAAAAACGTTATGAATGTCAGCATAATGAGTGATCAAAAACAAAACTTAAATATATTAAAAAAGAACAAAACTTTAATACCTGATTTCCAAACGTGTTCGTGGTCAGTCTGATTCAGGTGAATTGGTAGGTCTCTTCCTTTTTTTTTTCACCGCGCAGTTTTTACGTGTATGTCATATTTGGAATTCGATGACAACACTAAGACTAGTTGATTATTCCAAGTAACTCATTATTACTTTCTCAGTAAAAAAACAGAATTTACCTTTCTTTCTACAAAGTTAAAGTGACTAATTTTCCGTTGAAGTTGAAGTTAAAACACACGAATTTAAATATGTTAACATTTCTTCAATTGACGTCATGACTACATTTTTTTATTTTGTCAGGCCCTTTAGGAGCTTGTCACCTTTCATAAAGACAATAAGTAATCCTTCAATGCGTTTAAATAAAAAAATTCATAAGAATTGTCAGATATTTTGCGTTTTAATGTCGTTATGCAAAGTAACGAAACCTGATGTGGTAGGGTAAGATTAATGACACGATAATGAATTTAGAAAGTAGACTTCAATTTTGTCCAAGTATTCATTGAATCTTGCAGTCCTCTACCTTAGGAGAAGATTTATGGGCATTCTCTTTGCCATGAGGTTTCTCAACTGCTAAAAATATCGCAGGGAGTCGCAAAAAATTGTGTTGCTTATAAAGTATTTTGGTAGTTTAGAAAGAATGCTTAAACTATTCAAAAATGACAAAAATATTCAATTTTCAAATATCGCAGGGAGTCGCAAAAGTTGAGGCTCTCGTTCATTGCAAGTCTACACCACAATCTGTGAAAACAGCATATTAATGAACAATGTCATATTGAAAAATCAAACCAAAAATCGGTAGCATCAATAAAAACCATTGAGATTTTTAAGAGAACAATAGAGATAAATCGAAAAGCAAATAATCATTTATAAACTAACTATAGCGAGGATCTTATAGGTGGATGTATGTAAAAACCATCGGCAACAGCTCGAAATATTGTCTGAAAAACAGCCATCCACATAAATTCGTTGTTTCGACAATACCGTCGTTGACAGCTTAGAAAGTTCGGTAATATTGCTTGTGCTTTCGTACGACATATTTTTCAAATGGGTAAGTTCTATATTGAGACGATTTGTCAGTTTGTTCGATAGCATTATGAAACGTACAGAAAAATTATTGACAAATTCTAAGGCATCTTAGGAGAAGTTCACAACCTTTTTAGCTATTTTGTGACTTAAATCTTACTTATGTACCCATTACAGTGTTGTTTTTTTGGCTGCAAAATTTATTAGAATGCAGAACAACTAAATGTTGTAACATTTAGGTAAACGTTCATTCATTATTTCTTTTTGCAAACATGAGTTAATATTCAATATCATATTGTAAACACGCATGATAATTCTTTGTCTTTTGTTTTACAAACCTTTTACTGGTCGACGGTTGAAACTTTCTGGTTTTGATATTTAGCGCACTGGAAGTTAAGTGCATATGAATAGATTGCCAATCTATTCACTAAGATTGCTATGCCCAACAATTTAACAAAGAATGAAAGCGAAGGCGTGTTAAATTGGGCACAACAATCAACTGATGCAATCCAACACCATATCAAATTTTCAACATCACATTCAACTAAATGTTATCGCTTAAAATGAAAAATACGAGTATGTTGTCTCTCTTGTGGTAATACAAAATGAAATTAAACAACTTCAGATATATGTACAATAAAATTCCATTACGTTTTAAAAATATTTATAAAATTGGCTATAGTAAAAGCAACTGTGACGTCACACAACCACTAGGAGCGCTCCGTTAATCTGGTATTGGTGAGCACCCCTTGCCCTTGCTAGATATGGTCTGAATGATCGTATTTATTAATTTATAGAGCTTATGCATAAATCAATTTAATTTACAAATTTAAATAAAGTAATAAAAAATAATCTGAACACCACACAAAAAGAAAATTCCCCTCTGGACGAATTTATAATAACTTCTAAATGAATGAAACTCAGCAAACTCTAAAATGCCAATTGCGATATTGCCCTGTTTTGATGCGATAAATGGGCATTCTTCAAACTGATTAACACCTATAAAATAATGTTGCTGAATACTTGGTGAAATTGATTACAACACTTTTTAATGATCATTTCAGAATTGGATTTTTTCCACTGCAAGACACATCCATCTTAAAAGCGTAAAGGACTCTATTCTTCATTTGGCATTTAAAAAGTCTAATTTTTGCTGTGTTTAATTCCCTGGAATTTATTAACTTAACATTTAAAAGAGTAAATTTTTAGAGGAAGTTTCTCTATGTGTGTTGTTTATATCAGTTAATTAGTTGAGAGTACATTTTAAAAAACATTTCTTATCACAAAAAATATTTCTGTTTTATTGACAATAACTAAAATCATAAAGTTGTATCACAATCTTTAGTTTGAAAATTGATTTTCAATAAATATTATTTAATTACAAAAAGAAATCATGATAATTTTTACTGGGAATCTAAAGCTCAAGGATAACCGTCACTTAATACTTTGACTTTCCTCAGTGGCCAGTTACGAAAGTAATAAGCAATAAAAAACTTTATCAAAATAAAAAATTGAAGCACCTTACACAGCCTTCACAAAAAAATTTCTCACCTGCTATTTTGACATACAGAAGTTTAAAGAATTTATGGATGAGGTTGTACTAAGTTGATTTAGTTGCCAGACCCTTATTGTAAAGATTTCTAGCATTTTAGAGTCCTGCACAAACGCAGTACTAGGAGTAATTTCAGAAATTTTTATTATTTAGTTATATTTCATGACAAAACACATAATAAAAACAATGCAATGAGCAATACTGTACATTCAACATATTACACAAAACTAAGAATTTATATGACAACTAAAACAAGTGGCAGTATTTATTGCAAGCTACGTGTTCTAATAAAAAGTCAGTAAGTATTAGATTTTGGAAATGTCAACTTTCATTTTTTTAAGAGGGGGGACTAACAATTGAGGAGGATTTGAACCTAAAGATTGTTTTCAAATTTCCTGAGCTTTTTCGTCAACCTTTATAGCTTTGAAATAGTTTCCAGTTTCAGAATACACCGCACGAAGATTGTTTGAACAGTCAGCGACATCAACATGATTTGGACCTAAGAGTTTTTTTTTAATTTCTAGAGCTTTTTCGTAAAACTTTATAGCTTTGTCGTACTTTCCAGTTTTAGAAAAAAGCAAACCAAGATTGTTTAAAGTCGAGGCGACATCAACATGATTTGGACCTAACGATTGTTTTTTAATTTCCAGAGATTTTTCGTTAAACTCTATAGCTTTCTCGTACTTTCCAATTTTTTTAAGCACATTACCAAGATTGTTTAAAGACGCAGCGACATCAACATGATTTGGACCTAACGATTGTTTTCGAATTTCCAGAGCTTTATCGTAAAACTCTATAGCTTTCTCGTAGTTTCCAGTTTCAGAACACAGCGCACCAAGATTGTTTAAACACTCAGCGACATCACATGATTTGGACCTAACGATTGTTTTTGTATTTCCAGAGCTTTTTCGTGAAATTCTAAGGCTTTGTCGTACCTTCTAGTTATTTTATGCACAATAGCAAGATTGTATAAAGACTTAGCGACATCAACATGATTTGGACCTAATGATTGTTTTTGTATTTCCAGAGCTTTTTCGTGAAATTCTATAGCTTTTTCGTAGTTTCCAGTACTATAATAAACATTACCAAGATTGTTTAATGACGCAGCGATATCAACATGACTTGGAGCTAACGATTGTTTTTTAATTTCCAGAGCTTCTTCGTGAAATTTTATAGCTTCGTCGTAGTTTCCAGTTAGTTCAAGCACATTTCCAATATTGTTTAAAGAGGCAGCGACGTCAACATGATCTGGACCTAACGATTGTTTTCGAGTTTCCAGAGCTTTTTCGTAAAACTCTATAGCTTTCTCGTAGTTTCCAGTTTCAGAACACAGCGCACCAAGATTGTTTAAACACTCAGCGACATCAACATGATTTGGACCTAACGATTGTTTTTGTATTTCCAGAGCTTTTTCGTGAAATTCTAAGGCTTTGTCGTAGTTTTCAGCTTCAGAATACACCGCACCAAGATAGTTTAAAGACTCAGCCACATCAACATGATTTTGACCTAACGACTGTTTTCGAATTTCCAGAGCTTTTTCGTAAATTCTATGGCTCTCGTAGTTTCCAGTTTCAGAACACAGCGCACCAAGATTGTTTAAAGAACAGATGACATCAACATGATTTGGACCTAACGATTGTTTTTGAATTTCCAGAGCTTTTTCGTAATACTCTATAGCTTTGTCGTAGTTTCCAGATTCAAAATACATCGCACCAAGATTGTTTAAACACTCAGCGACATCAACATGATTTGGACCTAAGGATTGTTTTTGTATTTCCAGAGCTTTTTCGTGAAATTCTAAGGCTTGTCGTAGGTTTCAGCTTCGGAATACACCACACCAAGATAGTTTAAAGACTCAGCGACATCAACATGATTTTGACCTAACGACTGTTTTCGAATTTCCAGAGCTTTTTCGTAAAATTCTATGGCTCTGTCGTAGTTTCCAGTTTTAGAACACAGCGCACCAAGATTGTTTAAAGAACAGATGACATCAACATGATTTGGACCTAACGATTGTTTTTCAATTTCCAGAGCTTTTTCGTAATACTCTATAGCTTTGTCGTAGTTTCCAGTTTCAATATACATCGCACCAAGATTGTTTAAACACTCAGCGACATCAACATGATTTGGACCTAACGATTGTTTTTAATTTCCAGAGCTTTTTCGTAATACTCTATAGCTTTGTCGTAGTTTCCAGTTTCAATATACATCGCACCAAGATTGTTTAAAGACTCAGCGACATCAACATGATTTGGACCTAACGATTGTTTTGAATTTCCAGAGCTTTTTCGTGAAATTCTAGGCTTTGTCGTAGTTTCCAGTTCAGAATACACCACCAAGATTTTTAAAGACTCAGCGACATCAACATGATTTTGACCTAACGACTGTTTTCGAATTTCCAGAGCTTTTTCGTAAAATTCTATGGCTCTGTCGTAGTTTCCAGTTTTAGAACACAGCGCACCAAGATTGTTTAAAGAACAGATGACATCAACATGATTTGGACCTAACGATTGTTTTTCAATTTCCAGAGCTTTTTCGTAATACTCTATAGCTTTGTCGTAGTTTCCAGATTCAATATACATCGCACCAAGATTGTTTAAACACTCAGCGACATCAACATGATTTGGACCTAACGATTGTTTTTGTATTTCCAGAGCTTTTTCGTAAAACTCTTTAGCTTTGTCGTAGTTTCCAATTTCATAACACAGCGCACCAAGATTGTTTAAAGTCGAGAAGACATCAAAATCATTTGAACCTAACGATTGTTTTTTAACTTCTAGAGCTTTTTCGTAAAATTCTATAGCTTTGTCGTACCTTCCAGTTATTTTATGCACAATACCAAGATTGTATAAAGACTTAGCGACATCAACATGATTTGGACCTAAGGATTGTTTTGAATTTCCAGAGCTTTTCGTGAAACTCTATAGCTTTGTCGTAGTTTCCAGTTATAATAAACATTACCAAGATTGTTTAAAGACGCAGCGACATCAACATGATTTGGACCTAACGATTGTTTTAATTTCCAGAGCTTTTCGTGAAACTTTATAGCTTCGTCGTAGTTTCCAGTTAGTTCAAGCACATTTCCAAGATTGTTTAAAGAGGCAGCGACGTCAACATGATCTGGACCTAACGATTGTTTTCGAGTTTCCAGAGCTTTTTCGTAAAACTCTATAGCTTTTTCGTAGTTTCCAGTTTCAGAATACACCGCAGCAAGATTGTTTAAACAATCAGCGACATCAACATGATTTGGACCTAACGATTGTTTTTTAATTTCCAGAGATTTTTCGTAAAACTCTATAGCTTTGTCGTAGTTTCCAGTTTTTAACACATTACCAAGATTGTTTAAAGACGTAGCGACATCAACATGATTTGGACCTAACGATTGTTTTCAATTTCCAGAGCTTTTCGTAAAACTCTATAGCTTTGTCGTAGTTTCCAGTTTCAAAACATCGCACCAAGATTGTTTAAAGACTCAGCGACATCAACATGATTTGGACCTAACGATTGTTTTGAATTTCCAGAGCTTTTCGTGAAACTCTATAGCTTTGTCGTAGTTTCCAGTTTCAGAATACACCGCACCAAGATTTTTAAAGACTCAGCGACATCAACATGATTTGGACCTAACGATTGTTTTCGAATTTCCAGAGCTTTTCGTAAAACTCTATAGCTTTGTCGTAGTTTCCAGTTTTAGAACACACCAAGATTGTTTAAAGAACAGATGACATCAACATGATTTGGACCTAACGATTGTTTTCAATTTCCAGAGCTTTTCGTAAAACTCTATAGCTTTGTCGTAGTTTCCAGTTTCAACACAGCACCAAGATTGTTTAAAGACTCAGCGACATCAACATGATTTGGACCTAACGATTGTTTTGAATTTCCAGAGCTTTTCGTGAAATTCTAAGCTTTGTCGTAGTTTCCAGTTATTTTATGCACAATACCAAGATTGTTTAAAGACTTAGCGACATCAACATGATTTGGACCTAACGATTGTTTTGAATTTCCAGAGCTTTTCGTGAAACTCTATAGCTTTGTCGTAGTTTCCAGTTACTATAATAAACATTACCAAGATTGTTTAAAGACGCAGCGACATCAACATGATTTGGACCTAACGATTGTTTTTAATTTCCAGAGCTTTTCGTGAAACTCTATAGCTTTGTCGTAGTTTCCAGTTATTCAACACACCAAGATTGTTTAAAGAGGCAGCGACATCAACATGATTTGGACCTAACGATTGTTTTCGAATTTCCAGAGCTTTTCGTAAAACTCTATAGCTTTGTCGTAGTTTCCAGTTTCAGAACACACGCACCAAGATTGTTTAAACACTCAGCGACATCAACATGATTTGGACCTAACGATTGTTTTTGTATTTCCAGAGCTTTTTCGTGAAATTCTAAGGCTTTGTCGTAGTTTTCAGCTTCAGAATACACCGCACCAAGATAGTTTAAAGACTCAGCCACATCAACATGATTTGGACCTAACGACTGTTTTCGAATTTCCAGAGCTTTTTCGTAAAATTCTATGGCTCTGTCGTAGTTTCCAGTTTCAGAACACAGCGCACCAAGATTGTTTAAAGAACAGATGACATCAACATGATTTGGACCTAACGATTGTTTTTGAATTTCCAGAGCTTTTTCGTAATACTCTATAGCTTTGTCGTAGTTTCCAGTTTCAAAATACATCGCACCAAGATTGTTTAAACACTCAGCGACATCAATATGATTTGGACCTAAGGATTGTTTTTGTATTTCCAGACCTTTTTCGTGAAATTCTATAGCTTTGTCGTAGTTTCCAGTACTATAATAATCATTACCAAGATTGTTTAAAGACGCAGCGATATCAACATGACTTGGAGCTAACGATTGTTTTTTAATTTCCAGAGCTTCTTCGTGAAATTTTATAGCTTCGTCGTAGTTTCCAGTTAGTTCAAGCACATTTCCAAGATTGTTTAAAGAGGCAGCGACGTCAACATGATCTGGACCTAACGATTGTTTTCGAGTTTCCAGAGCTTTTTCGTAAAACTCTATAGCTTTCTCGTAGTTTCCAGTTTCAGAATACACCGCAGCAAGATTGTTTAAACAATCAGCGACATCAACATGATTTGGACCTAACGATTGTTTTTTAATTTCCAGAGATTTTTCGTAAAACTCTATAGCTTTGTCGTACTTTCCAATTTTTTTAAGCACATTACCAAGATTGTTTAAAGACGTAGCGACATCAACATGATTTGGACCTAACGATTCTTTTTCAATTTCTAGAGCTTTTTCGTAAAACTCTATAGCTTTCTCGTAGTTTCCAGTTTCAAAATACATCGCACCAAGATTGTTTAAACACTCAGCGACATCAACATGATTTGGACCTAACGATTGTTTTTGTATTTCCAGAGCTTTTTCGTGAAATTCTAAGGCTTTGTCGTAGTTTTCAGCTTCAGAATACACCGCACCAAGATAGTTTAAAGACTCAGCCACATCAACATGATTTTGACCTAACGACTGTTTTCGAATTTCCAGAGCTTTTCGTAAAACTCTATAGCTTTGTCGTAGTTTCCAGTTTCAAACACAGCACCAAGATTGTTTAAAGAACAGCGACATCAACATGATTTGGACCTAACGATTGTTTTCAATTTCCAGAGCTTTTCGTAAACTCTATAGCTTTGTCGTAGTTTCCAGTTTCAAAATACATCACCAAGATTGTTTAAAGACTCAGCGACATCAACATGATTTGGACCTAACGATTGTTTTTGAATTTCCAGAGCTTTTCGTGAAATTCTATAGCTTTGTCGTAGTTTCCAGTTTCAGAATACACCGCACCAAGATGTTTTAAAGACTCAGCGACATCAACATGATTTGGACCTAACGATTGTTTTCGAATTTCCAGAGCTTTTCGTAAAACTCTATAGCTTTGTCGTAGTTTCCAGTTTTAGAACACACGCACCAAGATTGTTTAAAGAACAGCGACATCAACATGATTTGGACCTAACGATTGTTTTTCAATTTCCAGAGCTTTTTCGTAATACTCTATAGCTTTGTCGTAGTTTCCAGTTTCAATATACATCGCACCAAGATTGTTTAAACACTCAGCGACATCAACATGATTTGGACCTAACGATTGTTTTTGTATTTCCAGAGCTTTTTCGTGAAATTCTAAGGCTTTGTCGTAGTTTCCAGTTTCATAACACAGCGCACCAAGATTGTTTAAAGTCGAGAAGACATCAAAATCATTTGAACCTAACGATTGTTTTTTAACTTCTAGAGATTTTTCGTAAAATTCTATAGCTTTGTCGTACCTTCCAGTTATTTTATGCACAATACCAAGATTGTATAAAGACTTAGCGACATCAACATGATTTGGACCTAATGATTGTTTTCGAATTTCCAGAGCTTTTTCGTAAAATTCTATAGCTTTGTCGTAGTTTCCAGTACTATAATAAACATTACCAAGATTGTTTAAAGACGCAGCGATATCAACATGACTTGGAGCTAACGATTGTTTTTTAATTTCCAGAGCTTCTTCGTGAAATTTTATAGCTTCGTCGTATTTTTTAGTTAGTTCAAGCACATTTCCAAGATTGTTTAAAGAGGCAGCGACGTCAACATGATCTGGACCTAACGATTGTTTTCGAGTTTCCAGAGCTTTTTTGTGAGCCTCTATAGCTTTGTCGTAGTTTCCATTTTTGTTAAGCACAACACCAAGATTGTTTAAAGATGTAGCAACATCAACATGACTTGCACCTAATGATTGTTTTCGAATTTCCAGAGCTTTTTCGTGAAGCTTTACAGCTTTGTCGTAGTTTCCAGTTTCATTATACACATTACCAAGATTGTTTAAAGACGTAGCGACATCAACATGATTTGTACCTAACGATTGTTTTCGAATTTCCAAAGCTTTTTCGTGGAGCTCTATAGCTTCGTTGTAGTTTCCAGTTTTTTCAAACACCAAACCAATATTGTTTAAAGACTCAGCAACATCAACATGATTTGGACCTAGCGATTGTTTTCGAATTTCCAGAGCTTTTTCGTGAGCCTCTAGCGCTTTTTGGTAGTTTCCAGTTTTATTATACACATTACCAAGATTGTTTAAAGACGTTGCGACATCAACATGATTTGGACCTAACGATTGTTTTTTAATTTCCAAAGCTTTTTCGTGAACCTCTAGTGCTTTTTTGTAGTTTCCAGTTTTATTATACACATTACCAAGATTGTTTAAAGACGTAGCGACATCAACATGATTTGTACCTGACGATTGTTTAATAATTTCCAGAGCCTTTTCATGATGATTTTTAGCTTGGCTATACTTCCCGGTGTCAAGGTATAAAACACCGAGGATATTAAAATACCAAGCTTTGTCATAACTATATTCTTCTGATTTAAATTGATCAAATAGTTCAAGAGCAAGATTGTATTTTCCAAAATGTCGTAATCTGTCAACAAAATATTCGAAAATTTATAAAGTATTCATGTTGATTTTTGTCTGGTTGGTCTTTAATAATTGAATAACTTTTTCAAGATGTGGCATTAATTTGTTTTCGTCGTCTCTCTCTTTAAACATGTAAAGTGCTTTAGATATTTGATCAACGTTAGTTTCCATTTCATGTTCTTTATTAGAATGTTCAGATTGATAAACAATGGTTGCTTTGTGAACAATGCGATGTAGACTAATGTCATTATTTTCTGAATGCAAGAACAATGAGCAGTCCTTTAAAGAAAGACATACACCTTCCTTTGAGTGTTTGGGATCAATTTCTTGAACATAAAAAACAATAATGTCTCGTGGTATAGGATCAAACGATATCACGGAAAAAAAGTTAATAACATTTGCCAATATTAAGGATTCTTCAGCATTTTGTCTAACAGCTAAAACTGAAGCTTGTAACATACTTCTAGGATACACCGAGTTAAATTTAACAAAATTGGCGTCCATGTTTTCTTCTTCTTCTGAAAATATTTTCTTTAAATATTGACTCCAAGTAAATGAGCAGTTTGCTTTGTTTACAAGACTGACATAATAACCAGCAGCTGCCAAAGCCAGCGGTTGACGATCTAATGCGTGCGATACTTCATTCAACAATTGATCATCAGCATTTTCAATAGTGTAATGCTTCAACAGTTGAAAACATTCCCTATCATTCATTCCACTTCTGATAGAAATATGTTTGTTAAACTCATCGTCTTGAGGTACAGCATCTGTGTTCTGGATGGTAACTATGATTTGCCCATTTATCCACATGGGATCACCAACTTGGGGAAGTAACAAAGAAATTTTTTCAAGCTGTGCCACGTTGTCTACAATGATCAACCAATTTTGCCAGAATTTTAATCGTGTGGATACTAACGATCGCAAGTTCTTCACTTTGTCTGTGATGGAACAGTTTTCATCTTCAAATTTTTTAATCATATACTTATCACAGTTTAAACGGTATCCAAGTTCACAGTAAGATTTTAAAAGAGATTCCTCATTTTTTCCATCGAGGGTCATTACAAACGAAGTTCTTTTTTTCCAATCACACGATATTTTTTCACAAACCTGTCTTGCAAGCTGTGATTTACCACTGCCAGGATTACCAGTGATGTAGAAGTATGTCAGTTTATCATTGTTACCTTTCTTTAATTTTTCAAGATATTTTGTAGTTTCATCTCGTAATTCAGTGCGTTCAACGAAAAAATGGTTAGGTTTTGAAGGAAGAACTTGGAACGAATTAAAACAGTTTCGATGATTTTTTATTTCAATGATTTCATCGGGAGAAAATTTCAAATCTTGAAATGAATTTTCAATGATATTGACTATTTTATCAAAATCATCATCTGAGCATTCCCCTTCATACCAATGTGCGTAATTGTTTCTTTCACAACGAAGTGCATGAACAGCATCTTTTGTTTTTTCGTCAAGATACTTTTTAATTGAGTTTGAAAAAACTATTGCATCAAATAATATCGTACAGTCCCATTTACTGGTGTCTCCATTCTGATATTTTTGTCGTGTTTTTTGGTCTAATTTTCTTCCTGATTCTAAACTGTAAAATTTGTTGCCACTTTTGTGTGTATCATCCCATTCTCCATAAGATGATTTGTAATGAATGTTCCATTGTTCGATGAAAAACGAAGCAAGTTCCTTTTGAACAACATTAATTATTTGCCTAATGTAAAATAGGTTTCTTTTTTCTCTTGATTCTATCTGCAAAAAATTGATGTATCAACAATATTAAAATAAAGTACTTTACTGGAAAGTTCACGTAACTTTCCGAAAGACAGACATAGGGATTTAGATTTCTATAATCTTAGATCGTCATTTTTTGACGTCTTATATCTTTTAGACAGTGTCTAAGAATATGGTATAATGTTCTAGCTGATAGCCTTTTCTTGAATCTTGAATATACCATGTAACGCTTATAGTAATGCCAACCATAGTCTATAATGCGTTTATTCAAACATAATTTAGTAAATGTATTTGTTTTGCAACATGCTGTAACACATTATCGTTTTTATCTTTGGCTACGAGGATTGAATGGTAATCGTAGAAACTTTTTATCAAATTTTTAGAAGACCATAAACTACTAAATTAATAATTATAGCTAACTTTGATAAATTTTACTTGAAACGAAAGTTTTTAAATTATGTTGATAAAATGGTTTTTTTTGGGAATACCATTTATTTAGTTGTTGAATATTACTTTTCGATTATGCTCAACTTTTTAAGATGAGTATTTTAAATACTCCTAAAAACTTTAGCATTTTAATCACAATTTTATTGCATTTACAATTGTAATTTTTAACATAAAAATAATTAAAAGTCGCACCTGCATGTCAAAGAGCTACGTCATAAATCGTTTCTGAGCTTTTAGAAAAGACTTTCCGTTTTCAAAATGCTATATATAGAGAGAGAAGAATGTTTGTGAGTTACCCCAATGATATGCTCAAACTGAATACGCGAAAATGTTTGAGCGCTATTTTGATTTACTCGTTGATTGCGTGCCATTTACTTTACAATTGTCTATGGTCTCCACCGATTTACGAATAACGTTTGAAAAATCTGAAGTTATTGAAATGCTTTTGTAAAAAAATTCAAAAGGTTTCAACGTCATTAGGTCCCAAGATATTGCTTCAAATGAATAGTCGTTTTGCTTCCATGTTCATAGAAAAATATAAAATTGTTGCCTTCAAAATGTTCAACGAATTTTTCCTAATCACTACAATTAAGATTATGTTTGTCAATTTTAAATACTGGAGAAAGAACTTTTTAGGACTTATTTCAATTCACTCGCTAGCAGCGAGTTATTTTATTCACTCGCAAACTTCTCACACTCGAGAGTGCCTCGCAACTGCATCGCGAGTCACTCGCTCAATCGCGAATCATCACTCTCGAGTGATCTGCAATTGACTCACGAGTCACTCACTCACTCGCCATTCGATACTCGTGAGTCAAGTCATTTAACTCGAGGTCGGTACTGTAGTGAAGGTCACTCAAACAGAGAAGGTGCATGCTGCAAAAGAATGTCTAAATTTAGAAGTATGGAATCAGAGGTTTGCAACGTAAAGAATGGAGGAAATTTCTAAATTTCTAAAGATAGATACAATGGAAGGAATGGTCAGTGTAAATGATGATGTACTGAAGCATGTGTAGATAGAAAAACTACTGAAGCATGTGTAGATAGAAAAACTACTGAAGCATGTGTAGATAGAAAACTACTGAAGCATGTGTAGATAGAAAAACTACTGAAGCATGTGTAGATAGAAAAACTACTGAAGCATGTGTAGATAGAAAAACTACTGAAGCATGTGTAGATAGATCAACTACTGAAGCATGTGTAGATAGAAAACTACTGAAGCATGTGTAGATAGAAAACTACTGAAGCATGTGTAGATAGAAAACTACTGAAGCATGTGTAGATAGAAAAACTACTGAAGCATGTGTAGATAGAAAAACTACTGAAGCATGTGTAGATAGAAAACTACTGAAGCATGTGTAGATAGAAAACTACTGAAGCATGTGTAGATAGAAAACTACTGAAGCATGTGTAGATAGATCAACTACTGAAGCATGTATAGATAGAAAAACTACTGAAGCATGTGTAGATAGAAAAACTACTGAAGCATGAGTAGATAGAAAAACAACTGAAGCATGTGTAGATAGAAAAATTACTGAAGCATGTGTAGATAGATCAACTACTATAAAATAAAGAAGTGTTATTGTTATTAATATACACCGTTTTGCAGTTGTTGGGATTGCCTAGTGTGTTTCAGCCCGGACTACTGAAGCTTAACGGACACCTTGGACACTGACCCAAACCCTACCATATATTCATAAGCCAAAACGAGGCCAAGCTCCCTATACAAGCGCTTCGGGTGTCCGCTAAACTGCAGTCTAGCCAAAAAAAAAACTGACGGTCAGCTTAATTGAAAAAAACTTTTTGTTGTTCTGACAAGCTTTTTACACTTGAACGAATCCCCCACCAATTGTTGCCAATTATATAGCAATGTAAATGTTAAAAATATTGTCTCGAAGCGCCTTGTGTCATGCCTTGCCAATGCTTTATTTGTTTGCTGTACTAGATGCCCTTGTTGCCTTGACAATTTCGCTAAGCTGAGCAAAGCAATTAAAACAGTGATTCTTTTTTTGATTCGAACTAAACAATGTCCTGTTTCTATGCTGATTTTGTTAGAATTAGCCTTGAAATTAGCAGGAAACGCAGTAAAATGGTCGAAAAGCAAAAATTACAATAACTCATTCATAGAGATAGACAAGGAATTTGTTAAAAAACTCAGAGATAGCTTTTATGTCGATGATCTAGTGTCCAGTGAACAATCCAAGAAGAAAGTAAGAGGTTGTATGAGTCAGCAAGTGAGCGATTGGCTGCAGGAGGATTTAGCCTTAGGAAGTGGCTAAGAGCTGATGAGAATGTTTTGAAAGAAATAGAAACAAGAGAAAGAAAAATTTTAGAGGAAAGAAGGGCAGAATTTAGTAATTCGAAAGTGGTTGATGAGCAAACTTATGCCAAAGCATCAGTTGGAGAAAATAGTATCAGTGAAAGTTTTGAGAAAGTACTATGATCGGGACGGGAGTGTTAGTCGGAGCGCTTTGTATTTGGCCTCTGGAAATTGGCTGAAAGAGCAAAGGCATTCATTCCAAGTAAACGAAGTATACTAAATATACTTGCGGGATTATTCGATCCTTTAGTTATTTTAAGTCCAGTTGTAGTTTTTGCTAAGTTATTGTTTCAGGAGCTGTGTATTGAGAAAGCTGAATGGGATAATGAGCTGAAAGGTGACAAGAAAAAACGTTGGGAGAGGTGGATAGAAGATTTAGAGAGAGTCAGGGATTTAGTTGTGACGAGATGTGTGTATGGTAATTTACTTGGTAAGGTAAAGTGTCACTTGCATGGGTACGCAGTTGCCAGCCAAAAGGTATGATGCCTACCACGTAGAGTTGCTTACGTGAAAACAAAGATAGTGCCAAAAAAATTGCAGACAATTCCTGGACTAGAAGTGATGTCAGCTGGAATATTAGCACAGTTGATGGACACAGTGAACTTGGCCTTAGAAGGTTACGTTCAATTTAATGGTACAAACTATTGTTTGGATAATATGAATGCATTGTGCTGGATCAGTAATAGGGGAGAATGGAAACAGTTTGTGTGCCATAGAGTCAACGAGATTTTAAGATTGAGCAGGAAGGATGAGTGGAAACATTGTCCGGGTGTAGACAACCCAGCGGACTTTGGTTCATGTGGAGTTACGACATCACAATTAAAGGAAAGTGAACTTTGGTGGAAAGACTGAAGTGGTTGTCAGGTCCCCATTGTGATTGGCCAATGCCAAAAGAGGTTAAAACTATAGAGGAAAGTCTTGCGGAAGTCGAGAAGACAGTATTGGCTAACACAAAGGTAGTAGATAAAGATTGTGTGATAAAATTTGGCAAATTTAGCAATGTAAAGACACTAATAAGGGTCATAGCTATCATTGGGCGATTTGTAGACAATTTGAAGGCAAGAGTTAAACTTGGGACAAAGAGGACTAAAACATTGGAAGTGCCAGATTTAGAGCTAGAAGCTAGAGAACCAATTTTTTTGCCTAAGAATCATCACTTAGCCGAACTAATTATTAAAGATTGCCACAGCAAGGTTCATCATAGTGGGGTAAGAGCGACCTTAGTTCAGCTACGAGCCAAATATTGGGAAATAAGGTAGACAGATCACGAAGAAGGTGATAGGACATTGCAGGATTTGTAAAAGACATCAAGGAGAGTCTTATAAAACACCAGTGCAAACGCATTTAGCAGATTTTAGAGTTAAGTATTCACCAGCCTTTTCTAAAGTAGGAGTAGATTTTGCTGGTCCATTGTTTGCAAAAGAAGGTGGACAGATGGTAAAAGTATACATCACATTGATTTCCTGCTGTGTTACAAGAGCAATTTATAATGATTTAGTTGATAGTTTAAGTGCACGTAGTTTTTTGAATTGCATGCGAAGATTTACTGCTAGAATGGGAGCACCCTCTCTAATAGTTTCGGACAACGCCAAAACATTTAAAGCAACTGAGAAAGCGTTGAAGGGGATTTATGAAATTAAGGAAGCAAAATCATATTTGGAAGGTATTCGGTTAGTATGGAAGTTTAATTTGCTGGGGACACCCTAGTGTGGTTGATTTTTTGAAAGAATGGTAGCATTGGTGAATGGCTGTCTGAAGAAGGTGTTGGGTAACGTTAAATAGAACAAGGAAGAATTGTAAGCAATATTAGTTGAGGTACAAGGTACGTTAAACTCTAGTCTATTGACTTAAGTATACGAAGATGAAGTGAATGTAGATGTGCTGACTCTTGCACATCTTATGTTTGGAAGAAGATTAACATCTATTCCAGACGAAGGATTTCTGCATACTATTAATGAAAAAGATGCAGGAGAGGTCAAGCGTAGGTTTAGGTATTTACAGAGATTGAAAAAGCATTTTTGGTCCAAGTGGAGGAAGGAATACTTAACAAGTTTAAGGAAGTGTCATAAGGTTGGCAAAGTAAAGGGTAGTTTATGTCCGAAAATAGGTGATGCAGTTCTTGTGTTTAAGGAAAGTTTGAAAAGAGGATTTTGGAAAAAAAGCGAGAATCGAGAGATTAATCAAGGGAAAAGTTATTATAGTTAGAGGAGCGGAAGTCAAAGTTCTTAGCAAGGGAAGGCCACTGCACATAAGCAGGCCTCTTCAGAAACTGTATCCACCAGAAATGGATGCAAAGGTAGGTAAAGAAAAGTCAGCGTCCTACATGTAAAAAATACAATCATGCTATTCTTCCTCCCAATACTTTTGAACAGGTTTTACTGTTTTCCCTACCATGCACCTTATGGTCAATAAGTAAAAAGTTGGTATATCAACTTAGATAATATTTCTCATGCACGTTTATCCATACTTCATCTAGATGCTTTCTTAGCTAATTTATTAGGTCCGTAATGTGGATGTAAATCTCGCTTTACTTTTGTAAAATTACCTTTGTTGTAGAAGTAAGACTTCATATCTGACGACCTCATCGTCCAAATGAAGCTTGCTTTAGTTCTTTACATGTCACATACCTAACAAAAGATGAAAGATTTAATATAAAAACACCACCACATACTGACATACATATCAGTTTAAAAATGGTGATCATAATTCATACTTTATTGTCGCATCAAACTTTTATCCATATAAGTTTTTTTACATAAACACATTTAAATAGTGAACGAATATGAAGAGTGAGTCAGGAACTCCTTGAACAAACGGTATTATAAAACATTAATGACATCTATGCAGAACATTCTAGTTAAACAACTAAGTATACATCACTGACTGAAAACAATTGTTATTGAAATAAAAATACATAAATAAGAGCCTTATGCAGAGTACGTAATAACATTGAAATGAGTCAATTACCAAAGGAGTACTGTTAAATAATATAAAGTTTAACAAGTTTAAACTCAGGAATAGATAATCATCTATCTAAGACAGGATTTGAATGCCAATGATTAAGGCATGATTTTCGCAACTGTGAATGGATTTTTTCCCTTCATTTATCAGAAATTCCATACATATATATTCTTGCATAAGTCAGTTCTTAGTATAAAAAACCTTTATTATTAAATAAACCATTGTAAATTATGAATACATGGAAAACATCAATTGCACGCAATTATAATTACTTATGATCTATAAAGACACTGTGGATACAACATTAAAGGTTGCAATGAAAATAAATCTTAAAACTGTAAAACATGATCAAAAATATAAATTTAAAAGCTCGCTGTGTTGCATGAATCAACATTTCCCAAAAAAGATTCGGTTGCGTTCTTTCTCTGTGTAAATACATTCTTCCTGTGCTCAACATTTGCTTATTTTACAAATGTTCTTACTTTTAAAATGAAAGGTTTGCTTAATACATTTAAAAACATTTTGTTAGACACACAACGATTAGTCAAAAGTGGCGTCGGCAAAAAATGGATGTGACGTATGATTAGACGTGCTATCCCCTCTACATAAATTTTTATAGATCCCCCTTTTTTCCATAGACAAGTATTCTATTTCACCTCTCCCATACCTTTGAACAGGTTTTGCTTTCCTTTACCATGCATCCTATTGTCAGTAGTTAGAAAGTTGGTATATCAATATAGATATGATTTTTCATGCATATTTAGTCATACTTTATCGAGATGCTGCTTTAGCTAATTTGTCATGTGCTTAGTGTAATTCTAAAATATCGGTTAATTTTTCTAAATTACTTTCTTGTTAGAAGTAAGACGACCGTGTGAACAAAATTATACTTGCTTTAGGTCTTTACATGTCACATACTCAACAAACGGATGAGAGATTTAATATAAACAACGCGACCTTATACATATCAGTTAAAAATGGTGATCATAGTTCATGCTTATTGTAACATAAATTTTTATCCATGTGAGTTTTGTTACAAAAACACTTTTAATGATTAATGTGAATGATTAAGACACAATTTTTTGAAACTTTAGATGGATTTTTTCACTTCGTTAATCAAAAACTTCATACGTTATATTATTGCAAAATTCACTTCATATTATAAAAAGACCTTTGTCATTGACTAACCCATTGTAAATTACCAATACGTTTTAATTATCAACTGGACGCAATTGTAAATACTTATGTTCAATAAGAAACACTTTACATATAACAGTAAAGGATGCAATTAAAGTAAAATAATTCAGGATCTACTTCAACAAACATTATTATGAAACATTAATGACATCTATGTCGCAGTATAGGAAATATACAGTAGGAGCACTTCGTGTGCAGCTGGCTGCTGTATATTTAATTAGATTACTGGCTGCCGTTAGTCATTTCATCATTCCTATTCGTCAAAAAAAGCAATTAACTGGCTGCCACTATGGTAATCACATGCGTAATAAGATATACATAAAAGATAAAAGTTTTTCCCGATTTTTTAATGACTTTTATTGAGCTTTCGACTCTTTGCTTCAAATCGTCATCAGAATGAGGAAATTACTATTTACATGTGCTTTTTTGCTTGTAGACGCTTAAAGCGTCTAATTGGATTAGAGAGTGGAATAATGTGATTAGATGGAGGGAATGCGTTGCCATGGATTTTAGTTATTTCTGTCTTTTAGTTGTTGAAGACAAAACTGAACAAATCCTACACGCCATAAATAATACCACAAAAAACATTACCTTCACTAAAGACGAAGAGCACGACAAACAACTTATCTTCCTCGACATCCTACTAACCAGAACAGATGACGGTACACTAAGCACACAAGTATACCGCAAAACCACCCACACAGACCAAATACTCGATTTCAACATAATCACCCAACACAACACAAAATAAGCTGCATTCTTAAGACTTTTTAACAGAATAAACACTCATTGTAACACCGAAAAAAAACAAAAAAAACATAACGCAACTACTTATACTCCACATTTATTAAAAACAATTATCCTAGAAACTTCATAAACAAAACTATAAAAAAAATACAAAACAAAATACGAACCGACAAAAGCAACAAGAAACCGGACGAAACAGTAAAAATTGTCACATTACCATACATAAACAGAACATCAGAAATGACTGCCAGACTTCTTAGACCATTTAATATTAGCGTCGCCCACAAACCTACTCAAAAACTCAAATCGTGTTTCACCAAACATAAAGACAAAGCAACAATTCGAGATATAACTGACGCAAACTACATGATACCATGTAAAGACTGCTCAAAGCAATACATAGGACAAACATTAAAGAAAATTGAAACAAGACTCGCACAACACAAAAACGCCATAAAACGACGAGATCCGAACTCACTACCGGCAGAATATACCCACGTAAACAACCACACATTCGACTGGACAGAAACTAAAGTACTCAGACGCGCACAGACTAAACACGCACGCGAATTTAAAGAAGCTTGGTACAGTGAAGACAACGACACAATAAACAGACATATCGACATACCCATCATATACTCACAACTAAAGAAAAATGACAAAAAAATACAAACAACACCAAAACTACAACATTATACTTTAATAATATCAACACTGATCATATTAACAATACACCAAAACCCTTAGCAACGCATTCCACCCCATCTAATCACGTTAATCCACACTGTAATCCAATTTTACGCTCTAAGCGTCTACAAGCAAAAAAGCACATGTTAATAGTAATTTCCTCATTCTGATGAAGGCTGGAAGCAACGAGTCGAAAGCTCAATAAAAGTCATTAAAAAATCCGGAGAAACTTTTATCTTTTATGTATTAAATGCCTGTATAACCAATTTTCAAACTTGCAACAAGATATGTGTGGCACGAAAAATTTCAATAGAGTGGCTCTACTGTATGTTCTTGTATATTGTTTCTATGTAGGACATCTCAGTTATATAACTAAGTATACAAAGACTAAAAACAATTGTCATAGAAATAAAAATACGTAAATAAGTACCGCATACAAAGTGCATAAAAACATTGAGATTAGTCAATTTCCAAATGACTAGTTTAAAATGTAATAAAGTTTCACAAGTTTTAACTCAGAAGTTGAGGATCAACTATCTAAGACAGGATTTGAATGTCAATGCTTAAGACACGATTTTCGAAAATGCAATTTTTTTTTTCATTTCATTAATAAAAATTTCATACAAATAAATTATTGCATATGTCATTTCATATTATAAAAAAAAATTTGTTATTTAATAAACTATTGTCAATTATAAATAATTTTCGAACTCCAGCTACACGGAATTATAATAACTTATGATAAGAAAACACTGCAGACACAAGAGTAAAGAATGTAATGAAAATAAGATGCTTGTCTCAAATGTGTAGTAACGATGAAAAATACATTGCAGTTGAGTCTCAGTAGGCAAATTTAAAAGATTAGTGGTACCAGTAAGAGATAAAACACCCACAAGAGCGCATTTACGATTTCCAAAAATGAATGCTTAGAGTAAGTTAAATCACAGTATAGGAATATACAGTAGGGGCACTTGGCTGTGCAACTGGTTGCTGTATATTTAATTAGGGGCTGGTCACACGAGCCCAATAGCCGGGATTCAGCGAAGCGTTAAAACACTTTGGCAGTGGAAAAGATTAAATACTTCACAACAAAATTTTATTTAAGCAATTTCTCTGTACTACGACTTTGAAAATTTACAAAACCTTTAAAGTAAAAACAAATAATTTAGCTTTATTTGAAAATTACGACTAAAATGACTTATGACGCTTAAGAAAAGGTTGTAAATTTTGCGCTTAAAGCTTTAACTCTTTTCAATGACTTAAAATCATTTTACGCCTCGCTAAATCCCTGTTACCGGGCTCATGTGAACAAGCTCTTAGTTTACTGGCTGCCGTTTGCCATATCGTCGATCTTATTGGTCACATAATGCAATTTACTGGCTGCCAATATGGTAATCACATGCGTAATAAGACATGCGTGGCACGAAAAATTTCAATGGAGTGGCTCTACTGTATGTTCCCTATACTGTGCACTTTCAATGGAGTGGCTCTACTGTATGTTCTCTATACTGTGCACTTTCAATGGAGTGGCTCTACTGTATGTTCTCTATACTGTGGTTAAATGTTCTTTTTCATCTCATTCGATTTTTTTTAAAAATATGACAATTCAATCACTGCCAAAAATATTGCTTATTTGTGAAAAATTTTACATTTGACCAGAGATGGTACATAGTTATTCTCTCAGTAAATATCGATGTTATGCAAAGTTTTTCCTCCCATGACCACCCCTAAAGTGAACCTTCTAAACATGTCAAGATTTTAAGAAAAGTTATTTCTTATTGTTTTTTAAAGTTAGAACTATGTTGACATTGCAATTTTAGTGGGGTGTCAATTTTAGGTCTCGTCCAGGATTAAAGAATTGGCGCATGTACCAGGTTGTTTGTCGTGGTCATTTTATTCCTTTAAGTTGAGATTACTTCTGGTAGACGAAGTGCATACAAACTCTTATACAAGTAGTTCATGACCACTAACTCATTCATTACACGTTTGTAATTGATCAATCGGTGTGCATAAATTAAACATTTGTTACTTTTTC